TCCTAATTTCATCAAATTAACAGAGAATGTATTGTTTTGGGGAACGCGGTCAAAATCCCCCGAATACATTCTCTGTAAATTGCACGGCTTCTCATTAATTGAATATTTGTCCAAATGATCTGTAACTTTGAACCTACACTAAAGTCGATAAAGCCTTTTTAGTGATATGGTTAGTTTTTCGATTGGCTCAATTTGACAGAAATTACAATTCATTTCATAACTCCGAAATGGCTAATAGTTCTTCCATTTTCTATGACAACGTTTTCACAAGTAGGTGTATAGGAATTGCGAAACCAACTAGAAATCTATTTGATATTGTTAAAATATTGTTCAGTTTATACGTAGACAAATAGCAAATAACCTTAATTTTTAACWATGTTTATGTTACATTSATATGGTGTAGGATATGACATGATTCGTACTGTTATAAGACAACATTTATTAAATAACATTAGCACTTCTATATTCATATCTTATTTTTAGTAGTTATATATCAGGYCGAAGTCGTTCTCTGTAAATCGTGCAACACCTCCACAGCCCGTAGATACGCTGTAATGTCYCATGGGTCATCACTTAGTATRTCACTTTTTAGCCTATTAATAAACATCTCYAGTTGATTTGGAGCTAGAGAGCATTGCGTCTCGGGTATTATTACAGCATTATCTTCGATTCCCTCCGCTAGTGCACCCGATGGATCTAYGCCATAGTCTTCGACCTGTGTCTAATAAAYGAACRAAGAAAGATTTTGTAATATTTTTGTAATTTYTGTAATATTTAAAAYAGAAACTAGAGGAAAGAATGAAAACCGAGAATGGAAGAAAACACGAATTCGGGATGGAAAAGGATTCAGCTTCTCAATGGGAACTAAATGGACTAACCTCATTTAGGTTTTCGAAATATTCAGACGCAACTATTCCTTGATCATTTCCAATTTGCTGCATACCCATTATGAATAGTTGCAGAGGTGTCTTATGACCTGCTSTGCGAACTTTGTGGTTGTTCCATGATTGCACAAATTTCGCCAGAGCATCGTTTATTATGGGTCCATATATATAGTGCAGACAGAAAAGATCATCTTCGTTGTCAGGATCGAGATAATTGTTTTTTTCAAGCGAAGAAAAAAGGTCATAAAATAACGATAGAACTATTTGGTACACATCGCGCCATAGCCTCTCTATTCTSGAGTTATGGACACTCCTCCCTGTTATGAAGCTCCCCCTTCCTGGACCTCGGGCACTATGGCCAAGCATGTAATATGCAACATCAACATTTTCCACTCCCTTATCACCTCTAACTCGTGAGGGTAGGCCCCACTTTCGGGTAGCTTCAATAAACAACTGCAACACTGTATTGGCTTTGTTGTTTGTGCTGCATTTTAGGAAAACGATCGTACGGCTGTAGCCATCAATGCAACCATGTATGACAAACCTCCAACTGAAAAAAAATTGAAAAATAAAAAAAATAGATTCACAGCCAGTGTGCTATACACAATTGATAATAATATTTATAGTACTCATCAGTAATTAGTTATTAATTAATACTAATTACTTAATAAACTTTGCAGTTTTAGAAATAATTTCTATTAAGTCCCCAGGTGCCAAATTTGCAATACAATTTTTATTATTTTAAAACTGTTTTGAGAAATAAGAACGAATTGGGAAAAGATACATTCCTTCTGATGAAATTGATGACAATTATYGGCGAAGACAAATTTTTGTACACCTTGGATATAGTGTCAGAGCTAGGTGGTTATCCTGTTGTCAATAATTAACGGTTCCCACCGTTTTAGAAGTGAGTAATTAGAGGAAACAGGAATATACTGATGGTTTGTCGTGAAACGAATTTAATATTCTAATTTCAGTATCATAAATCCTCTAACCGTATGAGTTTGTGGTTCCCGTCCATATGCCAGAGTGCAAGTGGAGAACGAACATTATAAACACGTCGTCGAATGGTGTTCATCGCACGGAGTCTGCGGCCTACGG